ACCTTGGGCTTGGGGAGGAAACGCTCGAGAGGGAGGAGCTTCTCGGAGCCGACGAAGACCTTGTCGCCGGGCTTGAAGGAAGTAGCGACGATACCGGTTTGGGGCTTGACGGTGAAGTAGACCTGAACGAAGGAGGAGTGTTAGCTTCATGTGCTGTGGTTCGAAGTGTCGTGGGAAGAAGTAATGCGTACCTGGTTGAGGGGACCGAGGACCTCATCGATCTTGCCGATGGGAGTCTTGTTCTCAAGGAAGACCTGAGCGTTGAAGTGGGGGATCTTGGGGTTGGTGGACTTGTAGAACATCTCGCCCTCGACGGCGTGCTCGAAGGTGCCGAGCTCCAGAACCTGGGCGGGGGGACCATCGTCGCGCTGGCCGAAACCGCCACGGCCGCCTGTTTGTAGGAAAGGATATGTTAGTTATTATTGTACATTGTGAGTGTATGTGTGTTGTGTTGTCCTCAAGTCGCCTTGAGCTGAGCCAATGGTTGACTTCAAATTGCGACCACAAGACAACGACATCAAGGTGGACGATAACGGGCTGATAATAGAATATAAGTCGTACCTCTGAAGCCGCCACGGCCACCACGGTCACCACCACCTCCACGACCTCTGAAAGACATGATTTATTGGTTGTGTTTTGTTGGTTGTTGAAATGGAAATTCGGCAAGGGTGCGTCTTGCGTCTCCTCGCGCGTCAGTGAACTGTAGGACCGTCGGGTTCGGAGTAGAGATGTTGACAATCGATCGTTTCGTCGGCGCAGACAATTGAAATTTTTCCGTGTTCCTGGGAGACTGTTGAATTAGGACGAGGAATTTTTCCCGGCCGGCAGGCAACCCAGACGCAACAGCACCCCACCGTGGCCAGCCCACTTTGAGCACTTTCAGACGGTTCCTGGCGGCGCATTGGTTCAATGCAAATTGTGGATCGACCGGGTCCAGCGGCCAGTGTGGAAATGCGGGTCCGTGCCCAGGGCCCTTGACAAACGCCAAATGTGGGGATTTTCACCTGCAACATCACTGGCAGCCCCTGTCACTTTTGACACAGATGACAGAACACTCAACTTCATCGCTTCAACATTCATTCTTTCAACATGGAGCTACTACAACTGGTATCCGTCTTATTACCCGTACACGACGCCTTCAAGTTACCGTAAATCGTATGGACGTACTTGACCTTACCGTCCTCAACCCGGATCTCATGACTATCCGGCATATTCCCCAGCGCATCAAACGAACACAGCACATCAACGGACCCCATCACTTCATCAATGACATATCGCCGATTCCCGTTGCGCTTCGAACTGCCTCCTCTCGGTAGCTGACCACCGCACGGTCTGGTATACTGCGACCCTTCAACACGCTCACAGTCGGTACCCCAAGGGATACTATCAGCCGCCTTCGCGTCCGTCCACATGTCGAGATAGGCATCGCCGACCTTCTTCAGCAGCTCTCGACTGGGCCGGTTCGCCACCGTATCGATCACGCCCCAGTTCTCCTTCTGGATGTACCCGAGTGTTTTTTGAGCATTGAAGAAGAGGGAGCCGGTGGTGGCAGCAATGATGTCGATGGATGCGATGATGGAGGTGTCGCCGTCGACTGAATGACGGATCTGTGTTGCCGTGACGTACGGCTTGGAGTTGGAGCCGCTGGAGAATGAGATGATCATGGTGTAGCTGGCACATGCAACGGTGTCCGCGGTTGATGTGTTGAGGCCGATGGGGTGCGACTGGCTGAGCACGCCGCGCCTGATGTCGGCTGCCTTGTTGTTCTGGTAGGTGAAGTTGCTCGAGGCCAGTTTGAGGTTGTCGGATTTGCCGGCGGAGAACGAGGCTACATAGCTGTTGGTTGCTGCTAGCAAGCCCTCCCTGGTACACTCAGCGAACACAGAGGTGATGGATGCAAGGAGGCAGACGACGGACAATAAGACCGTGTCTTTGGTGGTTCTGGACAGCATGACGAGTACAGGTAACAGGTAAACGGTTGACCGTGATAGAGTAGCTGCTTCTGGGACCGGCAGCTTTGATCAGTGATGACCGGCGGCACGAGTGCTTAAGTACGCACTTCCATTTCTTTATGAGCCGTCAGTCTCTGCCGATCCTTGAATCCTCGATGATCATTCATGAGCAGGTTTGCTGTGGATAAATGAAGAGCATTGATGAATTCTTGCGGGGAACACTTCATCCATTGAATGCCACTGGCCCTTCCCCTCTTGCAGTGTCCTGTTAGCCAGTAGCCATAATCGTTGTCGCATACTATAGCCTACCTATCATCACTTCAACATGTCTTGAAAGCGATGTCTTCAAATGAGAGGCCGGCATTGAAATATAATCATGTAAATGGCACGAAGGAAGTGGTGTAGCACAACCCTAACCCTCGAACGTATGGTCTCACAAGCCTCGGCATGTCTCCAGCTTTGTTAGCGGGGCGATTCACCAAAGGTGAAAGCTCAGCTCATTCCGAATGCGTAATTGAATTTCATCAAACTCGAATCTTACCACCATTCAACATCTTCATCGTATCAGTCAATCGCAAAAATGACTGGCCCTCTCCCTGGACAAAAGACCGTCCTGATTACTGGGTGAGTTTATCGCGCTGTCGGCTCGCTTTGCAGGAGTGTCCGCGACATGCCTCTTATGTTCCAATCGTCCATCGCCGCTTTTGTGATAGCAAATCGCTAACATATCATTCCCGTTATAGCTGCACGCCAGGCGGTATCGGTCATGCCCTCTGCCTCGAGTTCCACAAGCAGGGTATGTATCCGTAACTACCCGTTGTGGGGGTTCGAAACATCCCGTCCAGCGCTTTTAGTTCTAATCAAACAAAGCACTAACAATCTCCTCATGAAGGCGTACATGTCATTGCCACGGCCCGTAACCCGGCCGTCCTGGCCGAGATGGCCGATATGGGCATGAGCACCCTCGCCCTCGACGTCACCAACAAGGAGAGCATCAAGACCTGCCACGAGGAGGTTGCCCAGATCACCGGCGGCAAGCTTGACATTCTCGTCAACAACGCGTACGTTCCGTCTTTTCTTACTGCCAGGATCCCATTTGTTTACTTTCCCCCTTTTCTTCTTCTTTGCTCACCCATGCCCATCCACCAACCATACTAATATCCAAACCCAGCGGCCGCACCCACACCCACCCCGCCACCGACATCGACATCGACGACGTCCGCGAGACTTTCGAGACCAACGTCTTCGGCGTTATGGCCATGTGCCAAGCCTTCGCCGACCAGCTCATCGCCGCCAAGGGCCTCATCATCAACATCGCCTCCCTGGCCGCCATCACCCCCTACGTTTTCGGCTCCGTCTACTGCGCCAGCAAGGGCGCCGTAGTCTCCTACTCCCGCACCCTGCGTCTGGAACTCAAGCCCTTCGGCGTGCGCGTCATGACCACCATGACGGGAACCGTGCAATCGCAAATCGCGTCCAAGACCCACCGCACGCTGCCGGAGAACAGCATCTACATGCGCGTCAAGGAGTTCTTTGAGCGCCGGTTGACGTTTTCGCAGAACAACGCGACGGTCAAGACGGAGGATTATGCGCGGAGGCTGGTGAAGAATGCGCTCAAGAGCGAGGTTCCCTTGATCTTGAGGCCGTGGTTCGGACGCGCGGATTATTTCTGGGCGGGAGGGTGGTCGAGACTTGTTTGGACTGGTACCTTCTTTGGTGACTGGTTGTTGGATTTGGTCATGTATAGGATGTTCAAGATGAATGTGTTGGAGAGGGTGTTGGCGCAGGAGGAGGCGCAGAAGAAGTTGAACTGAGGGGATAATCTGAGGATTCCCGCTCTGACCGGAGCTGAAAGCTCGTTGTGCTGATGGCATCCGAGCCTTATGCATCATCAAGCTAAGGTGCGGTGTCGACCAATAGACAGCGAGAGATATGCGTTAGTGGCCTTCGTATTACGGGTTCAGGTAGAAGTCTCGTAGTCGGTGAATATGGGAATCGATAAGGACCATCAGCCCATCAGCCCATTGACCCGACAGCGGGGAGGGGTTTGTTTTGGGTAGCGAGGCTGTGGGCAAATGAAAGCAACATATGGCTTATGGAAGGCGCCATGGTGTGATTAATACCTCCAGCGTCCTTCGCCTGTTGATCCTCGTCATTGACACATTTACCTCTTTCTAGTTCACACCTTCAGCGATGCCCGGCGACTCGCAAGACAGCGTACTGTCTACAACGGCAAACGTCATCGGCCTGCTCACTTTTGCTTTCTCCGCCCTGAACTTATGGTACCTATCGACACGTCGAGATTCCAAGTTCTCAGCAAATCTGAAGGCGAAAAAATGGGACCAATTCAGGCTTGACTTGAGGAGCCGGAAGCGCTTCACCCATATAATGGAACTGCGGGCTTCCGGTGTGGGCGATGACGAACTACGAGACGCTCAAATCGCGTTTTCCCTCCCTAGAGTTCTTGCACGCATTGATACGGCATTGTCGCTCGTCGACACCATGGAACACCAATGGAGCGAGCTTGCATTTAAGATGGAGATTCAGAAAAACCCTTTTGTCATTTTTGTCGCCCCCCCTACCAGCATCACCCAGATCTTCTCCACCTATATTCTACGGTTCGACAACATTTTTGTGCGTCTTTATGGGGTGATAAAGAACGGACTCGGGGAGAAGAAGAAAACCTTGGATATAATACGGGCTGTATATGTTGTACTGAATGTTTGGATTCTCGATCTTTGGTGGTCATCGCCATTGGGAAACAGCAAGCTTTCTGACCAATATCAAGAAGGTGAGTTCCACGTCATGGCACTGGCAGTACCCTGGCATCTACATCACATCTGTCGACTCAACCTTCAAGCACTCCGTGTCAATGTTCCATGGAGTACACCACGTGAAACACAGTTCTCACTTATGCTTCGCAGCCTCGGAGATCCTTTCTGAAATCGATTCGCATATCTCTCTCATACAGAGTATGAAAATCCTTCAACTCGAAAGGTACGCATCCCCGTGTCGCCAACTATGGCTACGTCTACCTGTTGCTGATCTTCAACATGACCGTTTAGTATGATTGAGAATCGAACACTTGGTAGTACCGCAGTGGTGAACAACACTCAGCCTCTCGCAGCACCACGCTCACCAGCATCCGCATCACCAGCGCCGTCGTCACCAAGGGTAGAGTATTCTTCTACTTCGACACCACCTCATCACCCGCCATCTCGATAGTTTGGTGACAACGGAAACGGGGTTTCGCAGCTTTCCTGGTTAGTTTCTGAGTGTGGAAAGGCTGCATTGGTGGCTTCTTCAGCCGTATCATGAAGTTTGGTCTCACTATGTATGATTCAGTGGTCAGTGATGGTGCTGCCTCTGCTGCCGCTGACCACAGGTAGCGCTAATTGTGGTTTTGCGATCATGTTTGGGTGTCACTCGTCGATACTGAAGGGAGTCTGGGCCATGATCTACCAAATAGCCGCCCAGCGGGCCGTCAAAGGTGGATTTGGTACACCTCGAAGTTACATCCAGTTCAATTCTGTATGCCTTGTATGTGCGGAATATCAGCCGCGTCGTTTAATCTGGCTCTTATTGCACTTGAGCACCTCTGAACAATAATTCTATTCCTCCTTGCGGTCCAGGTCTTCCGATCTTGCTTCCCCCCACTGATATCACGTAGTTCGCTGGACGAGCTTATCCTGCCACTTACAAAAGATCCAACCCCGTCCAGTCTCGAACAATGTCCGACTGTTCCGACAGTAGTGTAGGTATCCTTTTAACAGTCGCCAACACATTGGGCATCTTGACCTACGCCATTGCGGCTATGAGCGTATGGGTTCTGGTTCTTCTGGACTTTAGAAAGCACCGGAGATCAACTAGGAAGAAAATGTGGGAGGAGTTTTGCGGCTCCTTAACAAAGAGAGCCTTACATCCGCCTTGTCTTGATGGGGGACTTCGTAGGAGTGAAGAGTTACCGAGCGGCGGAGGGGGCACCATCGGCAGGTACATGTACCCAAGACGACATTGATTACATGTATCCGGCATATTCATTCTGCAACCGGTTGGGACCAGACACGCACGAGAAGGGAACACAGGCACAAGTACATGTAAGGCAGGCGAAGACCGACACAAGTGGAACCCTTGACAAAGAAACGGATAGAATCTTGGCCCATCTCCAAAAGCCGTTACGACAAGGCCGCGCTTATTCTGAGCAAGATCGAGAGCACCTGGACCGATTTGGATCTGCCACCCAAGATCCAGCGCCCTGACACGAGCTTAAGGTACCTTGAGTGAATTCTAGAACTCGGCATGTCCTCAATCGATACTGCAGTGGGGGCTGGACAGGGTGGAAGGACTCATGGAGTCGAGCCAGGAATAAGGGAGCGAAACGACTTACCGGACTCTATGAGGAGTGTAAGTTCTACTTTCTCGCATTCAAGACCGAGTAGAGGTACCCACCTTTCAACTAGAATAATCCCTCAGCCAGATCAGCCGTCTGACTTCAATTGTTACAAACAGTATTATCCATCATTTCCGACATTGATTCCCGAATCCATCATATCCAGGGCATCAGACTCGTGCGTTTGCAAAAGTGAAAAAAGCTCGGATTTCTTACCTATTCGTCCAGTCCCGAATGCGTCGCTGACTGTCAGTCTACATACAGTACGATTGAGCAACAAGCCAACATTATCATGGAAATGCATCAGATCATAAAGAGACTGGCACCACCACCCGCACCACAAGAGCCTGGTGTATCACATGCTTTCGGGCACGACTACAATCAGACTACTACTCCCAGCTAGGTGTTCATACAGCCAGACGCAAGATAGACAGAGTGAATACATTACCCGCTGGAATACTACTACCTCTCCTAGAGTTACAACAAGGATGTACCAAGGTGTCTGATAAAGTTTCAGCAACTGGTACGTATGTACTCGTCTGGGTTTTTTAATTGTAATCCTATGTACAAGCACCGTACAAGTCTCTGTGTTTGATGCCGGATGATGTAGATATGTACTTGAAAATGCCGCCTACCCAGTTCATTGAACCGTCAGAAATTCCCATTGAAATAAGACTGGGAATGGGTAAGAAGGCCACCTAGATAGGCGATGAGCTAAAGACTGTGCGAGAAAGGCACCCTGTCGGAGCCCATTTCTGGCAGTGTCTAGCAAGTAAACACCGCCGGACCAGGAATAGTATAAGTCGCAGCTGTATTTTCCCCAACGTTAGTCACTCTCTCATTTCATTCTTTCCCATCCCTCCACCTCTCACAGGACAGAAACAAACTCACCCTTATAAGCATCAACCGTGATGCCCGGATCGGTACTTTTATACGCGCCCGGAAAGCTGACCAAGTTCGTCGAAGGAGTCTTGGTTCCCGAGCCGGTAACCTGCAACTGATGGCATCCCGGGTAAAACTGAGCACCGGGGTACATGTAGGCGGCGTGTAGAGCAATGATCTCGTGACGGACGAGGTAGTAGCCAGGCTTGAGGCAGGAGGGGATGGTGTACTCGTAGTTGGCGGGGGCGGTCATTAGGGGGGTCTTTGTTTTACGTCTCTGTTAGCATCGCTCTCAACCAATTATCATAATTTGGTGAACCGAACCAAGGGAAGATTGAGAAATTAAGCGCAGCGAGGGCCGAGAAAAAAATAAGAAGGAAAAAAGGGAAGGGGGAAAACTCACAGCAGCCCAAACATTACTCGTCCCCGTCCTCCCGCCCTCCTTAACCTTGAACCACACCTTATCGCTGGCACTAGGAGTCCAGTTCTGGCAACCACTATCCGGGCAGCGGGCCATGTAGGTGATGACGGGCCCCATGTGCGACTCGGGCCAGAGGGTCCAGCGCAAGGTAACGGTCGAGCCGGCGGCGGCGGGGGCGTGCAACTTGGCGGGCGCGGAGTCGGCGTTGCATTGGATGGCGAGGGAGGTTAGGTCTTCGACGGGACCGTTACCGGGGATTTTGCGAGAGATGCGTTCGGGCTGTTGGTGGGAGAAGGGTTAGTATGTGATGATCAAGGGAGCAAGGTGGCAGACGGCGGTGGGAGGAATGGTGCAAAGGATGAGGAAGGGAAGAAGACTTACAGCGGTGCCCATGTAAGGGTCCTGGTAGGGCTACATTTGGAGTGTGAGTTTTCGAGGTACGAAGTGGTGGTCTATTGTGATGGTGTTACCTGGTAGAACTGTGAGGTTGTTAGTAAGTCATTGCCGGTCATAGAAAAGAAGAGTGTTCATACCTGATAGAACTGTCCACCAATGGTGGCGTTATCAACGTAGCCATGAGCGGCCACCAGGCCAACGGAAGCCAAAAGAGTCGCAAAGGTCTTCATCTTGGTCTTTGTCGAGTGTCAAGTCTAAGTTGAGTGTCCAACTTGTCTCACCGCAAACAAGCCTCTTTGATGCTCCATCTGGGTTTTGGAGTCCCTTTATATACCCTTTCAACAATGCGGCTCTTCCCCTGATCAAAGACCCAAACAAGGTCTCGGGATGCATAGCATAGAAACAAGTCCCACCTACCACCCACGATTTGCAAACCCGGCTTCCCGCGTCTAGCAACACGAACCCAAACCAAACATTCGGATCGTTCAACGTCTCGATCCGGCTGGCATCGAACCAAAAGGCCCGTAAACCAGGTTCAGATGGTAGATGGACTTGGCGATCCCGCTCGTCTAAGTTTCGTCTATACTCTTTCTGGTAGCCGGACAAGGGACGGAGGCTGCACCATCCACCCTTACCCTCGAGGATAATTCTCCGAAGTATGGGGTTGTAATACCGATAGGGCGAAACACCCATTCTTGGATAATGCACTTCGGCCAAGAAAACCGACGCGTAGCAACGGACGTGAATAGAAACATCTGGTGATGGTGTGGTAGGTAGAAGAAAGGCTTGAGGTTTCTTGCTTGGAGATACGCACGCTATTGACCAACGGGGTACGATCTTCCGAGCATTTGCTTCAATGCTGGGGTTGCTGAGGAGAATTGACCCACCAATGATACAACACGAAGCGGGGGAATCGAGAATTCGAGAGGCGTTTGTTTGGAGGAAATATCTATTGTGGAAAAGAGCATCGTCGCGATTGTGAGGGGTGGAAGTTTACGTTGAAGTCACATGTTTGGTGAGTTGTCCAAGTCGTGGTCCATGTCGGATCAAGATCCCGTCGACAGTTTGACTCCGACGTGAACGACAAGAAAAGTGACCAGATGAGGGGAAGACGCCAGGAAACTGTTCCCGACAAGCCGTTACAGATTAAAAACCGGAATAACTCCCCATATCTGGAGGAGTCTGGAATTGTAAATGCAAACAACTTGTCCGGTCCGCGGATAATTCGCCGAGTCACCGGGCCCGATCGATCCTCACACGGGAACCCTGATGCCGGCCGACCTCCGAATGTGGGGATCCACTCCTCCGCACTGCACCGGCGTTCGATATCCAGATATTCGATCACATATCTTCCACTTACCAAGCTTCTGCTATGATCCGTTGCCAAAGAATGCGACTGACGCAATGCAGGAAATGACGATGTCAAAAGGAACAATGACTCGGCCAACTTTGATGCCAATGATGAGCACTTGCTCCACTACCACTGTATTCCTAAAGGCAACTGGCGGGAAAATAAGGTAGTGACACTAGGCTGGCCTGACACTTGGAGAGCCAATAGAACGGTCGAATCGTGGATCCGGAAGCTGACAAGAAAACCTCGAAATCGGGCTCAATGTTCGCGTAACAATTTTCAAAAAAAATCTAAAAAAATCTCAAAAGCTCCGACGAATAATCGGCGGACATGGAGTCTTCCGACGAACCATCCCCGGGTGTAACGCTTCGTCCGCCGCTGGAATCCTCGGCCGACGAGATTCGGATTCTCGACATCTTACCGTCCGAAAAGATCTCTGGTCCGATAGCATGCAGCTACCGCGTCATTAGTCTGAAGCGTGGCGAAGGTCAACAAATACCTTCCTATGAGACCCTGTCCTATGCGTGGCAAGATGCCGGCAGTGACTTGGAAACAGAGGCGGCTCAAATCATCATCGACATTACCTCTTTTGCGGTCTCGGCGAGCCTCTTGAGAGCGCTGCGGCGGCTTCGATTTCCCGACCGGATAAGGACCCTGTGGATTGACGCGGTATGCATCAATCAATCCGACGACGTTGAAAAGTCTCAGCAAGTCAACCTGATGCGGCGCATTTACGCCTCATGTACTCAGTGCAATATCTGGCTGGGATATCCACGAGATGTAGGTGTCTCGGAGGAAGATGCACAAGTGGTTTTTGACACCATCGCTTGGATCACCGCGGCAGGCGAGGCCATGGATGCCAAGTTCAGTGGTGTTGACGCATCTATCCCGCCCCCACCGGGTTGGTTCCGGGATGTTGAAGAAGACGGGATTGACGGGAAGGAAAAACTGAATCATGAGCTTCGACTAAGGGTTTCCGAAGCGTTTTACAAGTTCTTCCGAACGCCCTGGTGGTCGCGTGTGTGGACCGTGCAAGAGGCCACCCTTCCTCCTACTGCGACAGTCTATTGGGGTGCCTGTGAGATCTCGTGGTATTTGCTTGACATGGCGTCAGAGGCACTCATGGCGCCAACAGACGGAAGGCGAGAGGAGCATGTTGGTGATCTGATGCCAGAAGAAATCCACAAGTTCAAGGCACTAGACTACTTGATTGCTGTTATGAGGGGTATCGGCATCTCTTCTGCGGGTGAAGATCCTGTATCCACGCTGTATCGCTGGCGTGGAAGAAAAGCCACAGATCCGAGGGACAAGGTGTACGGGTTGATGGGGTTGGATGGTAGAGCTGTTGGTGAGGATGAGGAAGAAGAGGAAGAAGAGGAAGAAGAGGAAGAAGAGGAAGAAGAGGAGGAAGAGGAGGAGGAGGAGGGAGACAAGGAGACTGGGGAGGAGGAGGAGGGAGACGAGGAGACTGGGGAGGAGAATGAGGAAGAAGAGGAGGATGAAGAAGAAGGGGAGGAAGAGGAGAAAGGGATCTTCATCCCTGGCATCCCATCTTGCGACTACACCTTGGACGCCCAAACCCTCTTCTGTCGTGTCTCCTGGGCCCTTGTCGAACAATACAACAGTATCGAACCTCTAATCGGCCGAAGGGGAGAAGCGGCCAAGCTGGACGGTCTTCCATCGTGGGTGATAGACTGGTCCCAAGACAGATGGTCGGATGGGTTTTTCTACTTTGACACGGAACAAAGCAAAGTACCGGTCCAGGTGGCGGCAGCCGACTATTTCAGCCATAAGTCACTCTACTCGCACTATTGCGCTGATGGACCTGTCATGGTAGGGGCCGGTCCCAGACTTTTGGACGAATCTGGACGAGTCCTTGGGCTGGACGGGTTCTTCGTTGACAGAATTGCAGTGGTGGAGCAGCGAGAAGTTCTTGGGAGACTGGCGTTTGAGGGCAACCAGGTTTTGATGGCGAACGCGGCACGGTATGGGGAGCTCATTGGGCGATGCCACGACTATTTCTCGTCAGCAAGTGAGGAATCACGCAGGAGGTGGCAGAGTGGTGGCTGGATGCAGGAATACCTCGGCGTGGTAAGGGGCCAGCTTGATCCAGCAATGCCTGGTCATTGTCCCTTTGGCGAGGACGAGTGGGCGTCCACGTATCTCCAACACCATCTTTTGTTTGTGACAGAAGGAGGCAAGGTTGGATTCGGACCTGTGACGTCTGAGCCTGGCGATGAAGTCTGGATTCTCGAACTGTGCAGGCTCCCTGTTGTGCTTAAACCTTTGCAGTCTGAAGATCAGGAAGGAGGGACAAAGCGACGTGCGGTTACGTGGGTGGGCGACTGTTGCGTGTATGGCGTGATGATGGGCGAAGTTGTGGAAGGGAAGGAGGATGCTTGGGTTGAGATTGCGGTTCACTGAACGAAAGGAGCCTCACATTCAGCATGTCATCATGGACATTCGCATATCTAGGGGATACAAGGAAGGATCAATTGCGGCTTCCAATTGGCGGTTTTTGACAGCTGCAATGACACTATTATGCAGAAAGGTACGCGCCAACGCGTTTACCCCTCCTTCAGGTTGCTCTCCAATCCCGATTCGACCTCATTCGCGAACACTTTTTCACTTTCAGCTTCTCTGTCTGCTCCCTCAACCCAAGATGATATCTCCATCCGCCACCGCCGCCGCCCGTCATCCAGGAGTCTCCTGTAACACAAAATGGGGCGGCCATGCCCGGAGGTGGATGAAGCCCACACCTGCGCCTTCTGCCAGGAGCACCTTGCCCTTGACTCGACCGAAGTGGACGACGAGCAGATGTCTGAGTCTCGTTTTGAACGCATGAGACTGTGAATAGAGAGTCTATTCCCAGCCTGCGTTCGATATTATCCGAGTATCAGTTCTTCGATGTTGGTCTCGATCGTCTGTGGTCCAATGCCGCTGAGAACTGTTGGCTCGCACACAAGCTTCGCGTGGGGCTGCAGAAACAAGATGGTCGAGAGGGTCACCGTGTACTGGTGGCGCATTTCCGCGAGCATCCTGGTTTCATGCAGGATAAACGCTTATTTATCAGCTTCTGCTCGATCCCGTTGCCTTTACAAAGCTCTCTATCAGAGCTGGCATCCGAGCTCAGATGGAAGATAAACCGAATAGGACTCATGTACGTCGTGGCTGAGGAAGGTATGATTCCTTTTTATCTATGGCCATGTAACGTCAATGACCTAACCTGAAAATCATGCATAGGAAGTTTAGCGGCGACGGACTTTTCTAATCGTCCCATGAACCATTTCCCGTTCGAGCATACCCAGGAGCATGCACGTGCTTGGCTGGAAAGCTGTCGGTGCGACCATGCTGTCTCTCAACAGCTTCCCAGTTATATACCGAAGCGACTTCTCGCAATATCTCGTACGCCTGCAGGATCGTTATGTGTCACTGTGATTTCATCATCTATGCCAGTACGATACGCTACTCTCTCGTACAAGTGGAGTGGAACACATGAGCCGAGATTGACCCAAGCAAGATTGAAGGATTGTCAGGGTCAGAATCTTTGGTTCGATGTGGAAATACTCCCCAAGACCATTGCCGATGCCGTAATTACGACCGATGCCCTTGGAATTGGGCATTTATGGGTGGATGCATTGTGTATTATACAGGACGACGAGGCAGATAAAGCGGAACAAGTTGGGACAATGTCCAACATATATCGCCAGGCCGCGATTACTATCATCGCTTCAAGGTCAGACTCGGCAAACGAGGGCTTCCTACACTACCGACATGGACGAGAATGCCACGAAGACGCACGATCAAGTCATCCTTCAAAATGGAATTTCCGCCTGTCCTACTGCATCCGTCAGGGCGAACCGGGTAGTATCATACTTACCACAATACCGGATGTCCCCGAGGAGCCTTTAAGCCGGCGTGCTTGGTCATTCCAAGAAATGCTACTGTCCCATCATATCATTGATTACGGAACGATGCGCACAACGTTCGACTGCTTGCAAACAAATAGAGATTGCACCAGGTCCATTAGCTACAGCGACAATGGGGACACAAGAATTTACAACAACTTTTATGCACTTCAGAGACTTCGCGACATTGAGGATAGGGCTTAAACCTGTTGAACGGAGGACAAGACTTACTTATTATACCGTTTTCGTCGCCCTATGCTACTCTCAGAGCCCACCATATTACAAATACCTTGTTACCCCGTCCTCTTCTTGTGGGAGAATTTATTAGGGGACTACACTGGTCGAGAACTGACCGATCCCAGGGATCGGCTTAACGGCCTTTCTGGTGTGGCTGAGATCTTCGATTATTTGAAGGATGAGTACGTTGCTAGGTTCTGGCGTTCCGACATATATGCATCGCTACTGTGGACAACAACTCTGGAGCCATTCAACACAGACCTGGCACCGCGCCCAGCTGTATATTGTGGCCCGTCATAGTCCTGGACGTCCATTACCAACAGGATCAGGACCCATCCTTATGGCATGGAGTATGAGTGATGGAGGTGGGATCACGTCATCAGGATTTTGGATTATGGAGCAGAACTCGTTGATGACGCTACCAGATTTGGGGCGGTATCATCAGGATACCTCCAGATACGTGGGAGAACTGTCAACGGCAAACTGATACCCCGGAAGGATCCCTTGAATCCCCGTATATCTTTCGATGTTGAGTGGCCCGCTGCAGGTGCGCCCGAAGGAAGTTGCAGCTGGGAGAGTCTTCACGATTTGGAATACTTTCCGGACGCTCAGGAGCCTGAGTTCACTAAAGGCAATCCACCAACCCCGCTAGTTATCTTTATCCTGGGCATCTCTGGCAAAGGATCTTACGCAAAATGTCGGTGTCTCGTGCTCAAGCAGATTTCCGGCAGCCTCTACTCCCGATATGGGCGGCTCGAGATCACCGAAAAGTTTCGCAACAAGGCAAAATCACCGAGGCCTCACACGAATGGGGACGGTGAATTTTACGAAGACCTCTGTCTGGGTGAAGAAGCCTGGAACGAATCTTTCCCCATTGAGACGCTCACCATTATATAGAGAAAAGCCGGAAGGTTTGTGGGTCCAGACTCGCACCAGAAGTGTTCATCAGTCCCCAGTCTGTCACCACGAGATGTCGTACCCCCCCAGTCATCAGTGCTATGTCCCTTGAATACCTACAACTGAGGAAACGTGACCCTGACATAACGACAAACCCCAATTCATGTCCCTGCTTTGGGGGTTTGGAGGAGGAGGTTGACCAAGGGCCTGCTTTCGTAGGTAGTGTCTTTCTGCTTTTGGATGGAGAAGCTGTGGCTGGCTGGTTGGTTGGTTAGGTGTTGCTTGGCTTAGACAGAGGTTTCGGTTGCTTGACGGCGAGCATCCTCATCTCCTACTCTTCCTCCAGAGCAACTAAATAGCAAATTCACAATCCACAAGACCGTATCGTTACCCGCAACACTGACAAAAGTCACGTTTCCAACTCTTTCCCGACCCTCCATCCATCTCTAGTACAGGGCAACCGACCTTCATTAGCTGCTCACACCAGAACCTGCACGTCCAATCCTTAAGAATTGACATAAGGAATACAACTGCCAGCCTCTCACTGACTACCTACTCCCATCTACACATACATGTGTACTTTGTCCATCTCATTAGTCTTTCGAAAAGAAAAAAAAAAAAGAAAAAAAAAAGGGGGTTTCACAGGCCTTACGTATCTTTACATGTCTACTCTTATTGATTCGTTACTCCAATGGGAATTTTGCTGATCCCCAACGCGAGCCTGCCATTCCTACTTCTCCAAAAGTTCGTCCCGTTGGGGTACTCACCCGTGCCCTCCATGTCGAACAACTTGAACCCGCCGTTAAACAGCTTGTGGCTGGGAGTCCAGCGGCGCTCCGTTTCAGGCTTCTCCTGAGTTGGGGATCTAGTGGGTCTTCTTATGTTCCAGTCGAAGAAGTCGAGACCACGGATCCAATTCCTGACCTTCACCATAAATTACAACTCCATGACGGCCAGAGTCGCCAAGTCGGCTTGGTCACCAGACCCGGCCGTGAACATCCTTTCCTGTGGCGAGGTAAACGGTCTAAACAGCGACATAGCTTCCAGGAGATGCCGGGCAGGCGGTTGAATCCGCCGCTGGGAAGATGAGCTGGAATAGTCGCACGGCGGATATTGTAATCTACCTCTACCCACAGAGACTTGACCTCGTCGTATTTGTTCTTCAATCAACGGTAGCGGATCTGGGGATCCTAGAGGTAGCGAACCCAAACTGAGTACCTAGCGTACCTATTTCTCGCAAAACAAGCTGAAGTTGTCGGTCTGCATCATGACAAGACCGTGACCTTCTAGACTCTAGTACTTTTCTCAAGACGTGAGCTTGCACCTCACGACCAAAAGCTTGCTAGGTCCAACGGTCCCAAGTGACCATGCGGATGCCGCGGGCCCACCAGACCGGATATTTGAGGAGCTCTTCCATGTCATGGTTACCTCTAAGTTGTTGGTGCCTGTTTAATGTGAGATCAGTTGGCTTGATGATTTTGGGACTTCGGGTTGATGGGAACCGAGAAGACAGGAAGATAGGTACCTCTAGGTATGTTAGTTTTTTGCATATACCTTAAGCTTACAACGCACAGGCATCATAGTTATCAGAATAAATACATCAAGACGCTTGCAGTGGGGAGCAATTGGGCCAGATTGTTCCTGGACTTGGGAGATTTCACGCCAATAGAGAGAGCTGGATGTTGGTCCTGTGCCAAAGGGTGAATGAAGAAGCAGTCAGTCAGTCAGAAGCGATTCTTGCGAGCAAGCGCAATGCGCTTTGCATCGGGGGTCTCCAAACCAGTGGTTATCAATTTTGCCCGATGAAGTCTTTTGTTGAAGAGGTGGTAACTTAAACGTTCCAGCCCAATTCTGATGCTATCTATCGAATGCATGCTGATCTCTCGGTTGGTAGTAGCGACTTGCATTTGGGGTTCAAATAATAAGGTCGACACAAAAGCGCTTTGCATCCCCATGCTGGTTGGATGTCATGTGCTTTGTGTGTGTGCTATTCCTGTCCGTACAGTATATCAGCTCCCGACGCTCTGGAAAGGGGTGCGATTTGCTCGCACCTCTTGATAACCAGCACAAAAAGGGATATCGCTACGATGATGGATCAACATGGCAGGTCAAAAGTGAAGGCGTCGTCACGTCTGTCTTGGCAATGAATCCTTTCGGGTTGATGAGATACCTACCTAGGGTTAACTGCGTGATGGCAGCTGCTCATGTACTCAGGGTTGGAAGACATTGACATGTGCATTTGGGGGGACGCATTTGGTCGGGTTGACCCGTTGGGGAGAGAATGCCGGCCGGGTGGGAGGAGGTCTTTACCACCTTCCTAACTCTGTCATGACTGCAACCCTATATGAGGGCGCCGATTAATGAGCTCAGTTCTTGGCGGCA